CGTGTCCTGGACGAACTCCACGCTCGCGGACTGCCCCGGAGCCCTGCTCCGCTACGTGGTGCGCTGCGGGGACGACGCGGGGAGCGCAACAGGTGCGGGGCGCGCGGGGGAGTCCCGGTGGGGCGTGCGGGGGGGGCGCGCCTGGAGCTCAAGGCTGCGCTCCCCACAGAGCTGCAAGTGAAGCCCCCCGAGACCCGCGTCACCCTCCACGGCCTGCGGGCGGGCGCGCTGTACACCGTGCAGGTGCGCGCGGACTCGGCCTGGATGCGGGGCGCCTGGAGCCCGCCCCAGCGCTTCCGCCTCGGTGAGTCCCGCCGCGCCCCGCGCCCCCAGAGGACACCCGGACCGGCCAGCGCCGCCCCGGAGCCCTCGCCCACCCTGGCTCAGCTCACTCCCTTGTCGGACTCCTAGTCACCCTTCAAAACCCACCCCACAAGCACCCTCCTTCCAGGAGCCAGGCAAACCGCCGGTCCCCCCGGGCCCGACGCCGAGGTGCTGAGGGTCACCGCCCCCACACCGGCCCGGCCCTCCCCCCCAGAGCCCGAGACCTCCCACGCGTCCATCGTCCTGGCGTCTCTGGGCAGCTTCGTGGGCATCCTCCTCCTGGGCGCCCTGGGGTACCTGGGCCTGAGCAGGTAACGCTCCAAACCGTCCCGGCCAAGGCGGGAATAACGGGGTCTCCCCAGCGCGGCCCCGAGGGGCGGCGGGGGCTGGAACCCACACCCCTGGTAACCTACCCACGTCCCGCCCGCCTGCCTCGTGCCCAGGGCGCTGTGGCACCTGTGCCCGCCGCTGCCCACACCCTACGCCAGCACCGCCGTGGAGTTCCCCGGCAGCCAAGGGAAGCAGGTAAAGATCCCAGCTCCAGGGCTCGGGAATCTGCCTCTCCGGCGCGGCTTTCCGCCCTGTGGGCGGGGCCGCCGCTGACTGGCCGCGCGCTCTGCCCGGGCGGGGTGGAGGAGCGCTCTGATTGGCCTCCCCGAGGCCACGCCCACGCTCCCTTCCAGGCCTGGCCCTGGGCCGACCCCGGCGGCCTCCCGGAGGAGGCGCGCCCCGTGGAGACGCTGGTGGTGACGGCTTGGGATGAGGCGGACGCGACCGAAGCTCGGGAGGGAACGGCCGCCTCAGAGGCCCGGATCTCCGCCGGCGTGGCCGGGCTCCCGCTGCTCCTCGCGGACCGACGGCAGGGC